TTCCATTGCTATAGTAAAACACTGACAAAAATCAGCATGGAGAGGGAAGGGTTTTATTTGGCTTATAGGTCCATCAGGGGAAACTGAGGCAAGAATTGAAGTAGAGATCATGGGATGCTTACTGGATTAATCCCTATGCCTTGTTTAGACTGTTTTTTTAATCCAGAGCCACCTCCCCAAGTGTGGCATCACCCTGCATGGGCAAGGCCCTCTCACAAGCCATATCACTAACCAAGAGAATGCCACCACAGACTGATGTACAGGCCAATGTGATGGAGGCTTTTTCTCCATTGCATGTTCCTATTCCCAGGTAACTCAAACTTGTGTCTAGATGAGAAAAAAAATATAGATAGATTTTATTGTTAAGCACAAGTAACTAACACTCAGAGTTCCTGAAAGATTTTCAATCTTCCAACTTACAGCCAGGCAGTGGTAGTGTACACATTTAATACCAGCACTCGGGGAGCACGGGCAGATGGATCTCTTGAGTTCAAGGGCAGCTTTTTCTACAGAGAAAGTTCTAGAACAACCAAGAATACACGGAGAAACTTTATCTGGGACTGGGGAGGGTCAATCAACAGTCTTCCAACCAGGGGAGGTGACCCAGATCCAGACTTGACATTTCCCCCTTATAGACTTTGTCAAAGGCTTCACAGCGAAGCCACAGTGAAGAGATTCTTCCAGTCACCAGAAATACCTGTCAGACTCAGATGGACAAACAGTCAGAAAATTAGCAAATACTGCAATTTCCCAGGCAAGCCTGTCACTCTGTCACCTCATCACTCCAGTTGGTATTTTCTCCCAAGACCAAAATAGTTCTACAATTGTGTGCCTCACAGCAACTGTCAAAACTACCTCGAGCACAGAAGGAATGGGGCTAATGATGAGAGAGTTGGTGGCTGTGAGCATCAAAAATGCAGGATGGGGAATCCTGGTCTTGAAATTTTCATGGAAAAACTGAGGAAGTTTCTTCTCATCCCTGAACCTCACTCCTCCTCTGCTCCTCAGTGTGGAGAAATGGCAATCATGTGATAGAACAGCACATTACAAATTGGCAGGGAGGGTTTGCCTGTGTCCTTCAACTACTTTTTCAACTAAGGTGGTATTACAGTAATTGAACTATTACACAATATATGATCAGAAAATATCCATTAGGAAAAGAGATGTATTCTGTATCACTTTTCTCCATGTGGGGTCTTGTAGTCCATTTCCACTGAAATATATATAGTCTACCACCAAACAACCAAACACCTCCCAATTCTACTTTTTGGGTCCTATATGAGCCATAAACTCCCAGCAGCCTTGTCTCTCCGTGTCATCAACATGTTCTCCCCTTCTACAGTTATTTATGTATTTATGGCAACATAAATACATTGTGTACAGATCTATGGTGTTAACTTTGTCACTCAGAATAAAGCCACTGAAGTCCATGAAGTTGCTGCATGTGTAAACAGATTCCTTTATTTGTGCATGAAATTGTATATGTCGCCAGGTGGTGGTGGCGCACGCCTTTAATCCCAGCACTTGGGAGGCAGAGGCAGGCAGATTTCTGAGTTCAAGGCCAGTCTACAGAGTGAGTTTCAGGACAGCCAGGACTACACAGAGAAACCCTGTCTCGAAAAAAACAAAAACAAAAAAACAAACAACAAAAAAAAGAAACAAGAAGTAAGACCAAAGTGTGGATGCTTCGATCCTTCATAGAAGGGGGAACATGATAACCACAGGAGGTAGAGGGAGGAAGGGGCCTGAGAGAGAAAAAAGGGGGGAGAGAAAAAGAGGGTCAGGATCAGATATTTAAAGAGACAGGAGAGAAGTACAGAGGATCAGGAAATCAAATAGAAATATGTAGCAGTGGGGGATGGGGAACTGGGGTAGCCCCTAGCGAATGCCAGACACCAGGGAAGAGAGAAGCTCCAAGGACCCAACAGGGATGACGTTAGTGAAAATACCCAACAAAGGGGAGATAGAACCTTTAGAGACCACCTCCAGTAGATAGGCATGTCCCACAGCTCAGGAATGGGATTCCCCCCCCAAAAGTTGTTAACTCAGAAATATTCCTATCCAAAGGAAAGACAGAGACAAAAAATGGAGCAGAGACTGAAGGAAAGCCCATCCAGGGACCACCCCACCTAGGGATCCATCCCATCTGCAGACACCAAACCCTGACACTATTGCTGATGCCAAGTGCTTGCTGACTGGAGCCTGGTATGGCTGTTCCCTGAGAGCTTCTACCAGCACCTGACCAATACAGATGCAGAACTCACAGCCAACCATTGAACTGAGCCCAAGGACCCCAATAGAAGAGCTAGGGGAAGGGCTCAAGGAACTGAAGGGGTTTGCAACCCCATAGGAAGAACAATACCAACTAACTGGACCACCCAGAGCTCCCAGAGACTAAACCACCAACCAAAGAGTATACATGGAGGGATCCATGGCTCCAGCTGCGTATGTAGCAGAGGATGGCCTTATCTGACATCAGTGGGAGGGGAGGCCCTTGGTT